TTTACGCACAGAATGATGGCCTTTATGAATGGTTACAGCTATTACGGGTTCTACACCGCAAGATTGCATTTTATGAGCAACCTTCTTTTTGACGGATTCCTAAATTGTTTTATTAGAACTTTGTTCTTAATTCTTTGACATAACATAAAAAAATCCCGTAGTTTTTAAAGGAACTGATGGTGAACTATATGGTCGTAATTGTATGAATACTTTCTTTTAGGTATATTAAATGATATAAAAGTTTGAAGCCAAAATAATAATACAAAAAATAAATACACATCTAAATGCCATATTTTGTTTTCGACCTTTGAACTTGCGCATTTCTTTTTCCGTAAACAAACGAAGAAGATTCTGTAAACATCGTGCGTAAAGGGACGTTTTTGGGAACCTTTTTGCGAAAACATGTTTCCTTTAGGCGGCCATTTTCACGTAAATAGAATACAATTAATTATAATAGGAGTGAATCAGGTGGAAATCGACGTTTGTGACATTCAGAGCTAGATTGAATTAGGTTAGCTATTTCCGAGAAATGTCTATCAAACGTCAATCACGGCTGATGTATAGAGGTCAAACGTTCATTGCACACTCAATAAAGTTCCCTATTTTTCACTGTCTGGCTCTTTCGATGAAATTAAGGAAAATGTAGGTACCTACTCAGTTATCTTAAATTTGATCAATACAATATAACTAGAAATACACTATGATATTTTATAGCAATAAGCTTGCTTGTAATTTTAAAACACTTAGAAAAATTATATTCAGTTTTATGTAAAAAAAAGTACCTACCAAAACTTCACGAATCACTCAGTACCTACTCACGGTATAAAATTACGTTCAACACAAATATGAGTCATCCGTGAATTTTTAATCACATTATTATGAAATAAATACAGAAGATGATGCTGACGCAGATTTAATTAATGAAAGGGATAGTGCAAAGCTCGAGTAGGAATTCGTAAATAATTAATATCATGATTATGCATGAGCATTACACGGTCTGCTGACTATTCACCGAGGGAGGTTTACAGCGGTGTTTACATTACCAAACTTGTGTCCTGAAACTGAATAGAACTCTAGATTCATAACTGTAAACTTAGCCTTGGGAGGTCAGCCATTATTTTACTTAGAAGTAGCTTGTTTCTATTGAAATTGTTAGTGCAAAGAGTGTTCATAGTTCAACTTTATAATTTGTTCCACCTGAAAATTCACAGAAAGAAAGAGAGAAAGAAAAATAGTTTATTTGCACACTGTCACTGACAAAGTACAATAACCCACAAAAAAAATTAAACAGTGATGACGGCGCAAACCGGCCAGAGCTCAGCTTAAATGCCGTGAATGACAATACATGACACACATATTCAATTCACATATATTCAAACATCTAAAACACATTTACCTTTGGATCTTTTAAAATTCAAAATAGGTAGTTTATATTTTTGGTCTGTAAATCCTTGAAAACTTCGACTCTCTGTCGAAACTGAGCCTAACACTAACGCTCATACACTAAAACCAACAAAGCAATAGGTTCACCAACACAAGCCTATGTCCACACATTTCGTGCCTTTGTCCCCTCTATTTTGAGCTCGTTGCTACCTATTTTTACCCCACTAGGACCACTGGACACCGTGGCCGTTACTGAAACAAATTTGAAAATTTTCGCCTGAGCTCTTTGCGGGTTGTGGCTCTTTCAGTCCATTTCTTTGATTTATTTGAATGTCTCACCCCAGATCGTACATCTAACGATTGTGATTAAGTATCTTTTGTATCTTTTACTTAAATACAAGTATCCAAAATCAGATTTGATAAAGTAAACAAACAAATAAAAAAAACAATAAACAAATGAAAATACAAAACTTCTTTTTTATTGATTTGACTTAGTTCGTTGTTTAGCAGTATTTAGGCTAGTTTTAGTGTCGCACTGACCGCACGCTGACCATCGGCGCTGACAGACGAAATGTTCCTAGAAGTTCATCTGGCTCGGTTATCAACGCCGACGGTCAGTGTGCAGTCAGCGCGACACTGAACCCAGCATAAAACATTGATCACATAAAATAGGGTCTAGAATTGATATCATAACATGACCTCGTATCTGTATTCTTAGTAATACAATATTTTAATACAACGTGTTTAGGAATTTCCCAGGGTTCCAACATAAATTTAATTTTTAACAAATCCTTACTATATATATATATATATATATTTATTATATTTATATTATATATAATATATATATATATATATAATATTATAAATTGGAAAGTGAGTTTGTTTGTTTGTTTGTTTGTTCCGATTTCACGCCGTAACTACTAAACCGATTGCTTTGAATTTTTGCAGACGTAAAGTTAGAAGGTTGGATTAAATAATAGGGTACTTTTTATCCCGGAAAAATTTGATATTCCCGAGGGAAAACAAAAGTATTGGTATAGATGGCGCTGTATGTATTGGTATATGTCACATAGGCTACTTTTTATCCTTTTGTGACGCGAGCGAAGCCGCGGTTAAAAGCTAGTACTATATATTTGTACACATACCTATTAAGTGAATAGGAAAACGCGTAGGCTCAGAGCCCTTTAACCCTTTGGCTATGGTAGCCTAAAAATAAATAATACCAATGTGTTACTTTTTAGGCGTAGGCGTCATCAAAGGGTACAAAGGGGTTTTGTATCGCTAAGAGAGCACGTGGACGTATTTTAACAGAAAATTAATACAATCAAGGGAAATAAATTATTTCTTTCAAATGTGTCGAAAAAAAAAATATAGTATTAATACCTCGTTGTTTTGTTGTCATTCATACCATGACTGCCTCGTTGGCCGAGTGGTCGCAAGTGCGACCGCCGGGCAAGGGGTCTCGGATAAGATTCTCGGGTCGGACAAACTATTACAGGGTTTTTAAAAAAAAATCTCAGTAGTAACACGGAGTCTGGAATTGTGCCCGGTATATGGCAATAAGCTCACCCCCTATTACATGGGACTCGTAAAATAAATAGTGAAAAGTGGGTGCTACATTGTACAGTGGCATAATGTGCACCTCTGCGTACCTCTTCGGGAATAAAAGGCGTTATGTTATGTTATGTTATGTTATGTTATATTAGTATTCATACCAAAAATAAAAAAGCATAGCATTAAGCGTGTTTCACACCTGGTTATTCAGGATATTTTAATGACATCGTAAGGAATGGTACAGTCGTTTGTTCATTTTATTTTAATTTAATGCGTTTCCTCAACCAAAACGTATTATTCACAAATATCACCAATGTAATCTACTTAATGAAAATGCAGCTAACAGTTGAAGCTACATTTTCTATGCGCAAGGTTAAGAACTGCGTATTTGAATGCTGCAGTAGCGACCTTGAACCTACACTAGTGAATCGATAGCATGAAAGTTACAATATAACCACAACAACAGTTTGTTTAGGAAACACTACATAGAAACTACCCAATACATATAAATATGATAATGGACTTATTAACATAGAAAAGACCTTGTAACAGGGTAAAATGTAGGTGGATTCTTGGGATTCAGTTTGGGTTATCACTAGAATGAACACAATTTCAATATCATATTTTGTGGCAGACACATAAGGGTGTGCATAGAGAAAATTATTACGTAGCACTGATTGAATGAACTACAGAATACCACGATACGAGAGCTCGCCATGTAATGACAAAATCGCATGTCAGATATGTCCATAGATAAAGCCGATTCGATTCCCATGAACACCACATTTGACGTGATTATTGTAGATACTGGCATTTCTCTGACAAATGACCATTGGCCATAGAAAATTAATATACAGTTAAATAACTGGCTAGATTTAGTAGTGACTAGATTCCTATGGGGTGTACAACATAAATCAAACGTACCCCACCATATTCAGAGCCGCCTAACTAATCCGAAGCACGCAAAGCGATATTTTACTCGCCGTTCCTTCATACATAATACATTTTCACGTAAGAATATGCTCCAAACTAAACATACGTACCTTATTTTCATACGAAGCCTCGTTCTCGTATCTATTTAAATAAATGCTGTAGTATACAAATAGTCATTTGGAAAATATTGATCGGATTTTGTTGATAGTCATGCGCTAGGACACTTCGTTACAAAATACGGGCGACCGGATTACCTAACCAACCGACAACATAAAAGGGGAACAACAATTGAATGACCCCAAAAACAAAAGATAACCCGCATTATTTGCTATTAAAACCCGATCAAATAAATGCCAATCAACGGTCGGGGTAACAAAAGAAAATTATTAGAATTTCTTTACATATTACATGAAACATTGCTACTTTGTGTTCGGATATCCTGTAGAAGTAAATCTAAAATTAAACCTTATTTCGCCGTGATAAAGATTTGTTTCGTATAGATTTACGAACAAAGAGTGTACCTACAAATTCTTACTGTTTGCCAAAAGATATTCCCAAGAGTCGCGTACATACATTACATGTAATATGTATTTATAATACGTTCACCATAAGCTGTAAAATGCTCCAGGGATAAATATCAATGGGTTCGTGATTTTCTTGGAATATTAAAAGAGTATCTTTGGTTTTCACGAGGGAACTATACATAATAGATGTACGGTCAACTTCACGTCTGTAGAATATTGAACTATGAAGAACACATTTATAAATATAGTTGTTGCTAAATTTGAATAGTTTCAATTGATTCAACGTACGGACTTGAGTACCGCATTCGTAAGTTGTAAGGATACGCTTTCGAGTTCAATCGATTTGACTTGTAACTACTAGACGTCGTATCTGCTATACGATTCCATTCACTTTGCTCAATTCTGCTTCATCGCTCCCACAGAACAAGTTGAACTTCAGTATCGACAATATTGTTAGCTTTGTATAATATTTGATTCAGCAAAATTATTTCTCAATGAAATAATTTGTTTTCTTCACCAATACGTAAATAATTTCTAACACATTTTTATATGTACTCGCCAGCCATTAACTAACAGCTATCTAACCATCAATTTTATTCTCAGGTTCCGACGCAGAACCAGTTTGGAAGCTCCAAGATCCTGGCTTTGACCAAGGTTACGGTTCAGAACGTTCTCCAGAAGACGATTACGTACCTCCGATAGCACCAGCGATATCTCTGGAGGCTTACGAAGCGGAACTACGGTCTATCTACCCATTCATCAATGATGGTAAGATTTATAACACTAGCTTTAATCCATTACTTTTTGCACACGAAGACGAATGATGAGACAGCGGTAGTTTCATTCCTAATGTTCCGAAAAAATGTTTCTTAAGGCTTAAACACTATCGAAGTTGTATATAAAATATAATTGATTGTTGTATTTATAAAAATCGTATAATGATTAAACTCTTTCACGGACTCCATTATTAACATAGTTGCAAATGCGCTACAAAATAATATTGCCTACAATAACTTGATAACAAGCATTAATTAATTCAAGCAATACCATGTTCATGCGTCGATCCACATTTAGCGAGCAATATTAACGAATAGATGATCACTAATTCACTATGTAGTATGCGTGAATCAGTCATTCGTTAATTAAGCCCCCGGCAAATCAGTCACGCTCTAAATTCAGAACTGAGCAACGAAAATAAAAATGTCAACAAAACTTTTTTCCTCAACACGGTTTTAGCTCAGCTTTACGTATATCAGGAGTCACATTTCCAAGGCTTTTGCCCTAAGGATTAATATAACTTGGCCGGAGTAAGCACCTTAGCAACACCATTCAAAGCAGCTCGAGTGTTTGCCTTTGACACACGCGAGAGGTCGTTGCTATTTGAGCACGCATATTGTGCTGGTCGAATACAGAAAACACCACTTTTAACGCAAAACGACGCGGTTTGTGTGGCTCTTTCCTCGGTGTGTGTATGAACCGTCGAGTGTTGACTAAACCAGGTTGTTGTGAAGTAACGAGTGAAATTTCTGCCGATAAAGGTCACTGAATCAGAAAATAATACAACAAAAGAATTGTTTGGTTTTTCATCAGAACAATCAAATGTCACATTTTGATGTCTCTGTTATCTAACATTCTGATTTGTCTCTTTTTATCTTCAAACATGTGAGTTGTTTCCTAGCCATCCAATATAACCCTTGTCACATCTTACGACCCACTTGGGAAAAGATCAAGATGAAACTTATCTTGATTCAGATCCACAAAAGCATATTCAAATCCTAAAAGTCTTTGATAACTCGTGTATTTAATCATGCAGATATCAAGATCAACTAATCGTTTATTTCTATCAGAGTAAGAACTGATTGATATCCGCCATATTGGATTTGTGATTTATTCACTGTCATTGGCGTAACGTGACATATTGTTCTATATGTCATTTATCAAACAAAACCAATCCAATCGTAGATCGGTAATAAATTAAAGCTGTACATGGCACTATGAATATGTTATGAGCAATTTGCTTCGTATTGGAGTTATTTCAACGTTGTAACCTAACCTAACGAGGTTATTTTTGTTGCTCTATTGACTTCAATAATACGGTAAATGATTTGATTACCGCCATGATTTTTAATCGCTCTTTTTTCAAACTATCTAAACAAAAACAAACTAAGAAATCAAAGAAGATTACCAACAGCTGCAAAGAACAGAAGAATTTAACTTAAAGATCCAGTGCAATTCATCTGGGTAGCGTAAGTGTTTCCCCAGACGCGCATTCGGTTTCTGCCTCAGTGGGTCACGTTCATACAAGCGCTGCGGTTTCATCTGCTCTTTGGCAGAATACAGCTTTATCTGTATCTATACATTATATACGTATTACAGCAATAAGTCGTTCGGTTTCTAGTGCACTGCACTCCATAGTTATACATTTTCTTGGCTCTTGGAAGTCGTGGGATAGTGATCGATAGATGCCTATTAATTTCTTTCTCAGAAAAGACGCTTTTGCGAACATTATATTTACTTTATTACCCCTTTTCTCATAGGTGTGGGCGGAAACTGAAGATTATCGTGTTTTCCCATCCTTATATACCTTTAACAGGTATAATATAAACGTAAATATGTTTTATAGATGGAAGAAAGTTGTAAAAAATAGGTACTTACATCTTTTTTAGGGTTGAAGCCTAAAATATTGGCTTTTATATATTGAATGTTAGGACATAAAAGCTGTAAGCGGTGAATATAAATGTGTATTTGAAAGTGTAAGGGTGGGATTCGGAAGAGCTCGGTCCAGCTACAAGATCCCTGCGAGAATTATTGATGTAGAGATCGGAAGATACGAAAAAGGAGCTGCGATGTCGTTTGCAGTCATTTATTATTACGGACTATCATTTTGGTATTTTAGGAATATTGTAAGTGTGTGTTGTAACATGTTCATTTATTCATTGTTCATATTCGAGGACAAAATGAGGAATTAAGAAGATATTGATCGTAAAATAAAAATGGCTAATTGGCATTGCCGTTTCAAAAGTACCAAATTATGGTTTAATAGAAATTAATGCTTTTGAGTTTGAGTTTGTATTAAATAAATCTTTCTAATCTTTAATCTTTCTAATCTTATCTTTAATTTTTAAAATCTTTCTAATCTTATACAGCTAGGTAGGTCCAATTTCGACAAAGAGGTCGCCCGAAGAATCCAACTTGGATGGGCAGCGTTCGGGAAGTTACCCGAAATCTTCTCATCGAAAATCCCTCAGTGCCTAAAGACCAGGATGTTCAACCAGTCTGGCCTTCTGGAGAAGCTCAAAGTCGCTCAGCGTGCGATGGAGAGAGCTATGCTCGGGGTTTCTTTGCGCGTCAAAATCCGAAATATGGAAATTCGCCAAAGAACAAGAGTTACCGACATAGCTCGCAAAATCTGCAGACTAAAGTGGCAATGGGCAGGCCACGACGCTCGAAGGACTGACGGCAGATGGGCCAGGAAAGTCCTTGAGTGGAGACCACGGACTGGAAGATGAAGCGTGGGCAGGCCTCCCGCTAGGTGGACCGACGACCGGGTGGCGAGTAGTCGTTCGACGTGGAGGGCTAAGGGGGAGGCCTTTGTCCAGCAGTGGACGTCTTCCGGCTGATGATGATGAATCTTTAATAATCGAATAAATTTCAGTAGACTGAAATTTCAGTAGACTGAAATTTATTCAGTAGACTGAAATTTATTCGATTATTGTATTCTCACTTACTGGAAAACTGTCAGTGACCCGACCACGAAATATATCCGAGATAGTAGGAAAGCGAACTCTAATTCAATATCGATAAAGTTTTTCGAAAATTTAATTTCGTCCGAAATCTCGTCTTTGTCCCTTATCAGAGAGAAATCCTTCCGATTTCGTCCTGAACAAGTTCGTGAACAACTTGTGAGTGCCTGCTTGGTTTCGTGTTGTTTGCTTCACTATTTCTAGATTTTAAGCAAAAATAGATCAGAAGATATGCAAAAAATTAACAAAATTTTTTTGACCAGGTACCACGGATTGAATTAAATCATCATGCAATAAGTATTGTCAGTTTATATGTAGTAAAAATTAAATTACAAAATATTTTTCATTCCCTGTAATTTAAAAACAAGGTAGGTATTTTTTACATTTTTTTTTATGGCATAAACCGGTGAACGAGCAGACGGATCACCTGACGGTAAGCAATCGGCGTCGCCCATGGACACCTGGAACACCAGAGACGTTACAAGTGCCTTACCGGCGTTTTGGAGATTAGAAGTTTGAGGATTGTTGGGGATTCAGGGATTGGGGAGATTGGGGAAGGGGATTACATTTACATATTTTTTTTTAATAGTTAAAAACAAAAATACTTTATTAAATGTCATACTTAACAATAAGATTTAATAAGTAATAGAACGTATATCAAAGCAAATAGGTCAATCTCAATTTACCTATCCCAAACCCAATACGTAACAATAAGCTGGCGGCGAACTAATAGCTCTGTTTCACAAACGAAAACTAATCAGAACCAAATTAATAGATGGCTAATTATAACTCGGCTTATCGATGGGTACCTTGTACACGTGGATACACTTGAGATAGAAACTTGTGAAGATCAGTTTGTCCCTTGTTGAGAATTGAAGTATGAAGTCGACATAGTAAGTATCTTTAATAGTTGAGGGGTTGTTGTCGAAAACGATCAATGAAGGGAGTAAGTTTTTTGATGTAAGATCGAAGCAGGGAAGATGCTCAAATTCAAACGTAATTTTTTTTATAATAACTATCGTGAGACATACTAAATTAACTAATAAATCGCGGGTTACTCACGTGAATATACTGAGAAAAGATCTACTAGTTTCGAACCACAGAGGGGTTCTTCCTCATGAGCAGCATTCCTACCGAGTTAGTACGCATATTTATGTGAGTTACGCGCGATTTATAGTTAAGTTTTTTTTTAAAGGAAAGCAATGCCCTACACTTTGATTTTCTCCTATGTCGTGGGTGCGTTTATAAACATACAAGTTCACATACACATGAAACCCAAACCCGAAACAACAATTTGTGGATCACACAAAGAGTTGCTCCGTGCGGAAATCGAACCGTCTACACGTTAAGCGGCAGCCAGTTACCTAGACATCGCGCCAACCGTGCAGTCAGTAAAAATTTAATACACAATGCTTAGCAATGAATCAATGATATATTGGTCAACGTACTAAAATCAATCTGGAATTAAACAAATAATTGCATATACCGCAGTCCACTTAAGAGAAATAAACTTCAATTAAAATATCACACAACGGAGATAATTAAAAGCACGATTAAAGTCATTAACGAGTGACCAAAACAGCAAAGCAATAACGGTCATCCATTTAAAATCGTCATATTGACAGTTTAAAACAAACGTCAATTCATTAGCGGCGGCCATTTTAAATTCACCTATCAATAATGACATAACATTACGACGTCGATGTTAATTGCGAACGACAATTATTTGTTAAATGACACGGACATATTGACTGGTGTAAATTGTTAATTGTGTTGTCGTGTTTATGATAGTATTATTTCGTCCGTCTGTTACAATAGTTCGGTAGTTTAGACACATGATGTAAGTGTATTGTGTAACTAACTCTATGGTTACGGGTTACCGGGTTGAAAGGTTAACGCGCGTTGAACAAGCATAGAATCTTGATTAACACTGAAATCTGTATGTAGTAATCTTTAATTATTCTTTTACATGGTGATAGGAGTGTCCTTGGTAATAGTGTTTGTATAATTACTTCCTTCTTACAA